AAATCAGGTCTCAACTGGTACCAAAAGATTGGGATCATTCCCTGCATATTTTCAGACCACAATGCTTTGAAACTAGAACTCAATCACAAGAGGAAAGTCGGAAAGAACTCAAATACATGGAGGCTAAAGAGCATCCTACTAAAGAATGAATGGGTCAACCAGGAAATTAAAGAAGAATTTAAAAAATTCATGGAAACCAATGAAAATGAAAACACAGCTGTTCAAAATCTTTGGGATGCAGCAAAGGCAGTCCTGAGAGGAAAGTATATAGCATTACAAGCCTTTCTCAAGAAACAAGGAAGTCTCAAAAACACAACCTAACCCTACACCTAAAGGAGCTAGAGAAAAAAACAGCAAATAAAGCCTAAACCCAGCAGGAGAAGAGAAATAATAAAGATCAGAGCAGAAATCAATGAAATAGAAACCAAAAGAACAGTAGAACAGATCCACGAAACTAGGAGCTGGTTCTTGGAAAGAATTAACAAGATTGATAAACCCCTGGCCTGACTTATCAACAAGAAAAGAGAAAGGACCCAAATCAACAAAATCGTGAATGAAAGAGGAGAGATCACAACCAACACCAAAGACATACAAACAATTATAAGAACATATCATGAGCAACTCTATGCCAGCAAATTAGATAACCTGGAAGAAATGGACGCATTCCTAGAGATGTATCAACTACCAAAATTGAACCAGGAAGAAATAGAAAACCTGAACAGACCTATCACCACTAAGGAAATTGAAGCAGTCATCAAAAATCTCCCAAGAAACAAAAGCCCAGGGCCAGATGCCTTCCCAGGGGAATTCTACCAAACATTTAAAGAAGAATTAATACCTATTCTCCTGAAACTGTTCCAAAAAATAGAAATGGAAGGAAAACTTCCAAACTCATTTGATGAGACCACCATTACCTTGATCCCCAAACCCAACAAAGACCCCATCAGAAAGGAGAATTACAGACCAATATCCTTGATGAATATGGATGCAAAAATTCTCACCAAAATACTAGCCAATAGGATCCAACAGTACATTAAAAGGATTATTCACCATGACCAAGTGGGATTTATCCCTGGGCTGCCAGGTTGGTTCAACGTCCTCAAATCAATCAACGTGATACACTACATTAACAAAAGAAAGAACAAGAATCCTATGATCCTCTCAATAGACGCAGAGAAAGCATTTGACAAAGTACAGCATCCTTTCTTGATCAAAACTCTTCAGAGTATAGGGATGGGGGGTACATACCTCAATATCATAAAAGCCATCTATGAAAAACCTACAGCGAATATCATTCTCGATCCCTAAGGTCAGGAACGCGGCAGGGATGTCCACTCTCACCACTGCTATTCAACATAGTATTAGAAGTCCTAGCCACAGCAATCAGACAACAAAAAGAAATCAAAGGCATCCAAATTGGCAAAGAGGAAGTCAAACTCTCACTCTTTGCAGATGATATGATACTGTATGTGGAAAACCTAAAAGACTCCACCCCAAAACTGCTAGAACTCATACAGGAATTCAGTAAAGTAGCAGGATATAAAATCAATGCACAGAAGTCAGTGGCATTCCTATACACCAACAAGACAGAAGAGAGACAAATCAAGGAGTCGATCCCATTTACAATTGCACCCAAAACCATAAGATACCTAGGAATAAATTTAACCAAAGAGGCAAAGGTTCTGTACCCAGAAAACTATAAAATACTCATGAAAGAAATTGAAGAAGACACAAAGAAATGGGAAAACGTTCCATGCTCATGGATTGGAAGAACAAACATTGTGAAGATGTCAGTGCTACCTAGAGCAATCTACACATTCAATGCAATCCCCATCAAAATACCATCCACCTTTTTCAAAGAAATGGAACAAATAATCCTAAAATTTGTATGGAACCAGAAGGGACCCCGAATAGCCAGAGGAATCTTGAAAAAGAAAAGCAAAGGTGGTGGCATCACAATTCCGGACTTCCAGCTCTATTACAAAGCTGTCATCATCAAGACAGTATGGTACTGGCACAAAAACAGACACATAGATCAATGGAACAGAATCGAGAGCCCAGAAATGGACACTCAACTCTATGGTCAACTCATCTTTGACAAAGCAGGAAAGAATGTCCAATGGAAAAAAGACAGTCTCTTCAACAAATGGTGTTGGGAAAATTGGACAGCCACATGCAGAAGAATGAAACTGGACCATTTCCTTACACCACACACAAAAATAGACTCCAAATGGTTGAAAGACCTAAACGTGAGACAGGAGTCCATCCAAATCCTAAAGGAGAACACAGGCAGCAACCTCTTCCACCTCAGCTGCAGCAACTTCTTCCTAGAAACATCGCCAAAGGCAAGGGAAGCCAGGGCAAAAATGAACTATTGGGATTTCATCAAGATAAAACGCTTTTGCACAGCAAAAGAAACACTCAACAAAACCAAAAGACAACCGACAGAATGGGAGAAAATATTTGCAAATGACATATCAGATAAAGGGCTAGTATCCAAAATCTATAAAGAACTTATCAAACTCAACACCCAAAGAACAAAGAACCCAATCAAGAAATGAGCAGAAGACATGAACAGACATTTTTCCAAAGAAGACATCCAAATGGCCAACAGACACATGAAAAAGTGCTCAACATCGCTCAGCATCAGGGAAATCCAAATCAAAACCTCAATGAGATACCACCTCACACCCGTCAGAATGGCTAAAATTAAGTCAGGAAACGACAGAGGTTGGCGGGGATGCAGAGAAAGGGGAACCCTCCTACACTGTTGGTGGGAATGCAAGCTGGTGCAGCCACTCTGGAAAACAGTATGGAGGTTCCTCAAACAGTTGAAAATAGAGCTACCATACGATCCAGCAATTGCACTACTGGGTATTTACCCCAAAGATACAAATGTAGGGATCCGAAGGGGTACGTGCACCCCGATGTTTATAGCAGCAATGTCCACAATAGTCAAACTGTGGAAAGAGCCAAGATGTCCATCGACAGATGAATGGATAAAGAAGATGTGATATATACACACAATGGAATATTATGCAGCCATCAAAAGGAATGAGATCTTGCCATTTGCAACGACGTGGATGGAACTGGGGGGTGTTATGCTGAGTGAAATAAGTCAATCAGGGCAAGACATGTATCATATGACCTCACGGATATGAGGAATTCTTAATCTCAGGAAACAAACTGAGGGTTGCTGGAGTGGTGGGGGGTGGGAGGGATGGGGTGGCTGGGTGATAGACATTGGGGAGGGTATGTGCTATGGTGAGCGCTGTGAATTGTACAAGACTGATGAATCATGGATCTGTACTTCTGAAACAAATAATGCAATATATGTTAAGAAAAAAAAAGAAGATAGCAGGAGGGGAAGAATGAAGGGGAGTAAGTCGGAGGGGGAGATGAACCATGAGAGACGATGGACTCTGAAAAACAAACTGAGGGTTCTGGAGGGGAGGGGGGTGGGGGGATGGGTTGGCCTGGTGATGGGTATTAAAGAGGGCACATTCTGCGTGGAGCACTGGGTGTTATGCACAAACAATGAATCATGGAACACTACATCAAAAACTAACGATGTAATGTATGGTGATTAACATAACAATAAAAAATTATTAAAAAAAAAGTTGAAAATAGAGCTACCCTACGATCCAGCAATTGCACTACTGGGTATTTTACCTCAAAGATACAAATGTAGTGATCTGAAGGGGCATCTGCACCCCAGTGTTTATAGCAGCAATGTCCACAATAGCCAAACTATGGAAGGAGCCTAGATGTCCATTGACAGATGGAATGGCTAGAGAAGATATGGTATATATATATATACAATGGAATACTACTCAGCCATCAAAAAATGAAATCTTGCCATTTGCAGTGACATGGTTGGAACTAGAGGGTATTATGCTAAGAGAAATAAGTCAAACAGAGAAAGACAATTATCATACGATCTCACTCATATGTGGAATTTAAGAAACAAAACAGAGGATCATAGGGGAAGAGAGGAAAAAATAAAAGAAGAGAAAATCAGAGAGGGAGACAAACCATAAGAGACTCTTAATCACAGAAAACAAACTGAGGGTTGCTGGAGGGGAGGTGGGGGGGATGGGGTAACTGGGTGAGGGGCATTCAGGAGGGCACGTGATGGAATGAGCCCTGGGTGTTATATACAACTGATGAATCACTGACTTCTACCTCTGGAACTTATAATACACTATATGTTAATTAATTTAAGTAAAATTTTTTCACAAAATTAAATGTGTGTATAACACCTTAAACAATGTCATATGTGAATTAAACCTCAATAAAACTGGAAAAAATGTGGGTGTATATATACATGAAATAAACATCTATGTATACATACGGGGGAGTCAGGTGGGGAGGAGCAGAGACACGAGAGTGTGTATGCGCGTGTACTGACACCTGAGCCAAGTCCTGAGGCTGACGCGGAGCAAGCCTGGTTTAAACAGAGTAAGCGCCAGTGGGGATAAGCACAGTGGACCTGGACATCTGTGACTGCTATGGGGTGGCGGGGGCAGGGAGTGCAGGTGAGGGAAGACCCCGCTGGCCAAACCCGTTTGCCAAGCAAAGGCACGAGGGCTTGCTCCCCTTCCCGGCTGTGCTGCCGGCTCCTCTCTCCACCCACGAGCACCAGAAGACACAACAAGCAGCTAACACAGCTCGTGTCCTGGGAGGTCAGAGGCAGCTAACTAAGTCATTCCTTGGCAAGGTATAAATAGCACGTCCTCTCTCCCAGAGGACTTCTATTTTAAATAGGGGCCCTTGAAGATCACAAGGGAACAAACCTTTAAAATGCCTGTTGGGGCAGGGTCTTCCTGGTGTCCCATGAGCTCCCTAAGGAAGGGGCCCTAGCCCTGTGTAGGAGGGGCATGTAGACCTAGGTAGGGGTGGGCGACCAGGCGAGGGGAGGGGAGGGGAGGGGAGGGAGGCAGCCGCAGGGCCTGGGCCCCGGGGTCTCACCACCAAATGCAGACCCAGCCCCCATGTACCTCTGGGCTGTCAGATCCCTGGAGACCTGGCTGATGGCATCACCATGGTGTGAAGAGGCAGCTAACAGTGGGTTTTCCGGGTCCTCAAGGATAGCTGGCTGGATGACGTCATCCGCTACATGTGACCTGGGAGAGGACAGGGAAAAACCAAGGCTCAGAAATGTTCCTGAAAGTTTTCAATGTGTTGGAATCGCACATTTTATGTGGGCCGTGAGCAGGGCTTCAGGGCCTCCCTTTGCCAAAAGTGCAGGGTCTGCTGCTACTCCAAGTGTGGCCCACAGGTGGCGCCAGGCCAGGAGGGCTTTGTTATAAAGCACAGAAACCCGGAGAAAGTTTAGAAGCCCGCAAAGCAACTTGACTGAGTAATTTTGTCTGTTGAATCTAATAATAAAAGTCAGGATGCTGCGAAACACCCTACGATGCACAGGACAGCCCCACCACAAAGAATTATCTGGTCCAGAATGTCAATAGTGCTCAGGCTGAGAAACCGTGGCCGTGAATCTTGTTTCATTTTCTAGTAATTCATTTAATTGTATTTTAAGGTTTTATTTATTTATTTGACAGAGAGACACAGCGAGAGAGGGAACACAAACAGGGGGAGTGGGAGAGGGAGAAGCAGGCTTCCCGCGGAGCAGGGAGCCCGATGCGGGACTCGATCCCAGGACCCTGGGATCATGACCTGAGCCGAAGGCAGACACTTAACGACTGAGCCACCTAGGCGTCCCATTATTTTTTTTTAAAGTTTTGATCTATATGCATTAGAAGCTTAAAACTTTTTTTTAAGATTTTATTTTTAAGTAATCTCTACACCCAATGTGGGACTCAAACTCACCCCAAGATCAAGAGTCACACACACTCCACCGACTGAGCCGGCCAGGCGCCCTGAAACTTAAAAACAACACTGGCCCTTCATCCACTGAGAAGGTGGACAGCAGACAGCCTCCAAGAGCAGCAGGTTTTGCAAGTTCAGAGGGACACGGGTCACTGTCACACACTGGTCACGCATCAGCTCACTCCGCTGGAAACCCCTTCCATAATCAGGTGTGTCTTACTAGTTCATCAGGGAGGACCATGACTTTGTCTTTCTGATGAACTTTGCTCTGGGCAGTAAGTAGCAGGACCGTCTCTTTCATTCCCTGAGTGGATACTGATTGCATACCAACTCTTAGGCTGGGAACAGGAAAGAGGTGGGCCGTGCTCGTGGGGCTGAGAGTCTTAGGCAAGAGTCAGACAGTTTTTTTAAATGCTTATTTATTTAGTAACAATTGCAGTAACCACTAAGAAGGACAGACACAGATGGCTAAGGCCATAAACCAGGATGTCTGGGCTGGGGCAGTGGGAGTAGGGGACTATTTCCTTGTGGAGTGGTAAGCTGAGGCCAGCCAGCCCAGCTCAGTGATAATGACCCCTGTGCCAGGAACTGTTAGTCTAAGTGCTCATAGGTATCGCCCCATATGGTCCTCACAGCGGCCCTGTGAGGTGGGTATTCTCATTACCCTTGTTTTACGGATATGGAAACCAAGGCACAGAGAGGCCGAGTAACTTGTCCTCGGTTGCACAGCTGGTAAGGGGCAGAACCGGGTTACAAACCCAAGCCTGACGCTAGAGGCCATGTTTTAAACCACCACTCCAGGCTGTGTGCCAGAGGTTGAAGAGTAAGAGAAAGGAAGAGTGCCTGTAGTAAGGGAAGCCACCCATCTGAAATCCCTGAACCAGGAAGGAGTTTAGCTTTTGGGAGCAATGAGTGCAAAAGGTCACGGTTGCAGGAGTGTGGATGACAGAGACTAGGAAGGGGAGAGGTGGACAGGAGCCAGAGCCCAAGGCGAGGTCGAGGGACTGGATCCTAAGCCAAGGAATTAGTCCAAACTGTCTATCCAAGTGCTGCCCTTGGCCTTGAGATGAATGAGCGGCGGGGAGGCCCAGGGTGAGTTTCTTGAAACTATGTCTTAAATATGATTAGACCAGCCCACGCCTGTGTCCACACCTTACTATTTATCCCCATGGACCTTGTGATGTTCCCTTCCTCCTCCACTGTTCCCATCCATCATTCCAAATCCCCCAGAACAAGATCCCAGAGACCGGGGACCATGCCCAAGGGAGAGAAATGAGGACAAGGGGAAGAGAAGGAAGGAGCAGGCCTGGAGGAGAATCCTCAACTACAGGCACTAGCGACTTTCCAAAGTCATAAAAAACAAACAAACAAACAAACAAAAAACTGAGTGGAAAAACATCACCCAGGAGCTTTGGCAACACACACTGAAAGCCCTAAAAGACTTTGTTTCCTTCAACACAGTCATGGTACTTCCAAGAATTTATTTTAAGGAGATGATTAAGGATGTGAGCAAAGATGCTGATCATAACTGTGACCATTACAGCAAAACAAAAACAAAAACAAAAAAACTAGAAACAAGCAAAATGTCCCCCCGCAGGGGACAGCTGATCATAGTAAGGCACAGCTATAGAATGGACTCATAGGCAGCTGTTTAAAAAAATTAAGGTAGATCTCCATATACCTAGAGCTAAGTGTATCCACCGTTAACTAGAAAGAGGTTTTAAAACTATCAGAAGCATGACCCACATTTCATGTGCGTGTATCAATGTTTGTGCGCATATACATATATACGTACACACACATGTGCAGAAGTGTGCAGCAGGGTGAATGAGTACCCAGCAATGAGGGACGATGTGTGCCAACGTGTGAACAGTAATTCTCTCTCATTGGTGTTTTTTTTTAAAGATTTTATTTTTACGTAATCTCTACGCTCAACGTGGGGCTCGAACTCATAACCCCGAGATCAAGAGTCGCATGCTCCACCGACCGAGCCAGCCAGGCACCCCCTAAGTGTTTTCTCCCGTTGGATTCATCTCTATTTTCTAGTTCGGTGCTGACTGTGCCCGGCTTTTATAAGCAAAATAAATAAGAAAGCCTACATAAGGACAATTTTAAGTGACAGGGAACAACTTCAGTTTGTACGTAACTCAGGGAAAGTTTTCAGAGATGGGACAATCAGAGTAAAGCCCACGTTTGTATTCACATAGGACCCAGACGTGTCAGGCTCGTCCCGAGGCAGAAGTGCAGCCACACCTCACTCATCAGGCACCACGGGGGACAATGAAGGTCCCGGTGGGGGGGGGGATTTGGGGGGTAACAGATATCTGCCTGCATATTCTATGAGATGGCATTTTTATTTTAACTCTTTGGGAGGAATTATGTTTGAAAGCACATTGGACACTTCGCTGAATTTTCTGAACAGAGAATCTTGAACATAATGAAATGTTTTCTTAATGACACACAACTGGCCTCTTGAGTGACTATGACGTAAGTCAGGAAGTATGCTATGGCACCAAGAGCACAATTGTACATGAAGAGTCCAGAGGGCTGGGTTCTAGGCCGGCCCCACCTTGGGATCTCAGCCAGGTGACTTTTCCATCTGTAAAAGCGAAGGTTCCTAGACTGCACAGTCCCCAAGGATTCTCCCAACTCAGTCCTGCCCCTCACTCGCAGGCTGTCAGCCAGCACCTCTGCTAACTCACCTGATTCTGCTCTACTTTCTGCCTTTGGTTCTCTGCTTCTCATGCACAGACTAAGACATGTGGCTGAGGGTGTTAGAATAGTGTGTAAATCAAGAGTTAATAAGCACTGAAAAAGGTTTATAAACCATACAACATCATTATGATAATTTTTAAAATAAGTGTATGTGTATATATACACGTTAGCTTGAACCATATGAAATTCCTAAAAAATAAATTGTCAAATTCACACTGTACCAGCAGCTCGAAGGCCTTTTTGTCTTACTTCTTTGAGACCCAGCTATGTTCCAGATGGCTACAAAGGGGGCAGAGCTGACTTCTGGGTGAGTGGAGGAATTCTTACAAAGCAGCTCTTCTTGGACCAACTGCAAGAGGCTATAAATGGTTTCTAAATTCTACCAGGAGTGGTGCTCAGACTAGAGTGACTGCAATATTTTTCAGAAGAAAAAAAAAAAAAATCTGTCCGAGATTTTAACCACCAGCTGCTTCCACCAGCTGCCAGGACCAGCCCACTATAAATTTAGTCAGGCCAGCAAAGGGTTGATTTTCCGCTGGAATGTCAGGGAGGGACGCTTGCATCAACAAGTGATTCTCCAAAGGGACATGAGTCACCCTCAGAGATGGAGGCAGAGAGGATCTGGCTTCAGAAAGGAAGGCAGTCCCGTTCTGGTCTAAAAAGCCAGCACCTCAGCTCTACACACAGAATCCGTGCCCCAGGAAGAGCCCCAGGCTGAATCTCCTGGGAATCACTGAATAATAATCACAATTAATACCAATAATGAGAGAGGGAGGAAAGTCTGGGAGGTGATGGACACATTTACGCCTTGACGGTGATGAGGGTGTCACAGGTGTGTACTCAGCTCCAAACTCATCGAGTTGCAGACAGTCAATAGGTCCAGCGTTTTACGTCTCAATCATACCTCAATAAAGTGGCTTAAAAAAGAAAAGGGATCACACACTCCAGAGTTGACAGGCTAATCAAGAGCACGGCAAGTTCAAAGTCTAAAGTAAGGAGAAACGTGAAGGGTGCTGATAGAACAAATTGCCTTAGAAAAACAGGGTTCTCTCAGGCGGGGCCATCTGGAAAGGCCCCCTGAGGGGCGGGGCAAGCAAAGTGCCTAACAGACAGAGGAGTGCAGAGCTTTCCAGATGAAAAAAAGCTTCTCCCTCCTCTCTCTCTGATGGTTCAGAGGGAAAGCCATTAGGCTTCTCTTCCCCTGCCGTGGACAAGGCAAGGAAGGTGACAGGAGAGGGGACAGAGGCTGTCCCTGTGTTACCTACAGGGAGGGTAACAGAAAAATAGCCCTATCAAGGGTAATGGAAGCCAGGTCCTCACAGTCAGAGGATTTGCCAAACACAAACGGTGATTAGGCTCCAGCACTCCCTGAGCTGTGTTGCAATCAGAGGAATGAGAAAAACACAGAACTAGGTGTAGGGGTGAGTGTGTGGGCACACACATACCTCTACTTCCCAGCTCCCTCTGCGGAGAGAGGTCAGTCAAAAGGACATTAAGAATTACCTCAAAGGGGCTGCTGCTGGCCAAATCTGGGACCACGAGGGCATAAAAAAAATAGACACTAATGAGTTACAACCCA